AGAACCAGTGCAACATATTTCATTACTTATCGATAGTCTTTTCTGACTCAATCAATGTCCTATTGAGTTCTACGCCACTTTCAATGATCAATTTGCCAACTATAAGACAATTAACTCGATTGTTAGCATGAAAAGAATTCGTATCGATGAGTTGTCGAGTATCATTAATAAGTGTCAGTGAGAGCTGGATTTGTTCTTGGGCGGAAATTATGATTGAGTAGTAATCATCGCTAAAAGAAAACTTAATCTAGTTAAAAACATTCATATCATTTCAATAATATTGGTGCATTCTACGAATTGTTTGATAGTTAAATAAATTTTCAATTTAGTTACTTATGCAAACCAAATGAAGCTGTATTTTGTTTTAATAAATGTCGCCGTGACAAACAATATGGCCGTCAAGCTATTTATACTATGGTTAAAATTGTGTTAAATCCTGACAATGAAATAATATCGAATGAAGATGATTGGAAACGAAAATTACAAGGGTATATTTGAATAGAAGAAGAATATCCATGTTTTTTTTTATGATGAGTAAAATCATTTTTCTAGTCCTCGATCTGAAGAAGCTAAAGTTCATCAGGCAACAGCATTCAATTTACTTCAAGTTCATTTTCTTGCGAATTGATCTTTGAAAAATTTTAATGAAAATATTTTTAGGGAATGAGCGAAGCATCGAATGATATTCAATATCGAGTATTAGAAAATAGATGTTTGGGACATACAGGAGAAAAACATACTCTTGACCAAGCAACAGAAAATCTAGCACAAATTCTTAATGATCATGTAAATAAATTCTTCTTTTTTTTGCGTGTTCTTTTATATTCGAGTATTTTAGAAAGATAATGTTGGTGCTTTATGCGCTATAAGTGAATGTTTAATGGGATTGAAAAATGCTCAAAAAGCACGGCAATATTTAAAGAAAACAACAAAAATCGCTTGGAATATTGATGATGCTGATGAAATCGAGCAATGTTGGTTAATGCTTGCAATGACATATGTTCAAGCCACAAAATATGATGAAGCACTTGATCTATGTAAAAAAGTTTTAAATGTTAATAAGGTTTGGAGAAAAGAATATTCTCGTATATATATATATTGTTTTTGTTTTTTAATGATTTCCTTTCCAATGAATAGTGTTCAACACGAGCATTAGAAATTTTAGGAATGATGAATGAACAAACTGGTGCGCATAAAGATGCAGCAGATAATTATGAACAAGCATGGAAATATAGTAGAAAAAATCAACCATCGATAGGTAATATACTGTTAAATTGACCTTAAAAAAGCATCGTATTTCATAATCCATCTAAAAGATTATATAAAGAATGAGATCAAATAAACAAAATACGTTGTGTTGCACATTTGTTCTTATTACTCGCGGTCAGTGAACAGCGGCAGTTAGAAGATAGCCGATAGTTTAAGTATCCAATTAGTGCTAGTTGATTGCCAGTATACTCGTGAGTTTTATCCAGTTTGAACCATAAGGGTCATCGTTGATGCTTTCTTTTTTGTTTGACGATAGAAACTTTTGCATACACGTTCATTCTATGTCACCCCAAGGAAACGCATGTTACAATGCGCTAGTGTTTCTTTCTATCTTAAATTAATAATTGAATAGAATGTTATTTGTTTAACTTGTTTCTTTAATAGCGAGTTAATTTTTGAAAAAGCTCTCATTATAACGATGATAGAAAAAATTCCTGTTTATAATCTGATTGAAATTCTATCATGTAAGATGTTTTTAGTAAGAAAGATTGTTTAATAAGGTTAGTTGAAGTGTTAACAATCGGATAGCATGTTTAGATAAAAATAGAATTCTATTGTGAGTTAGATTGCATTGATTCCCGTAAGAAAATATTTTTTTTAATATTGAGAAGCATAGAGAAATGAGGTGCAAAGTTACAAGTACAGTTAAATATGACCATGTAAAAGTCTTCTTTCTACGTCATACTTTGTACCAATCATGCGTTTCGTTACTGTCTAGTGACAATAAATTTCTTCAGACGACATTGTTGAATTGAAGCCGGCATTCATTTTTGCACATAGCCCTTGATACTAAATTCATTGCTTAAAACAGGAGCTTTTCATATGACAAACATATCGCTAATTATTTTGAATTGGTTTTCACTCCACAATCAAAAACATTTTCAAGAGCTTGAATAAGATGACTCATATTTCGTAGGATTAAAACTTAATAAAACAATAGTAAATTCTTTCAAAATCCAGCAGTAGACATTTAAAAGTCTAACAACAAAACTATGATAATTTATCGACAAATAAAACATTGCCCGATAGTTCCCACCCTGCTTCGCTATTCTTAATAGTTCATGTGCTGTGTTGTTTTAACTTTATAACATGGTCTATTTTTTCTACAATCATCAAGCTTTCTAAGGATTCATTATTTTGGTCTGCTCTTGAACAGCTTTCATCCCATTAAATGCTGATTTCTTACACTTCAAATCGTTTATATATTCTAATTTATCTTGTAGGTTACAAATTAGCATTCAATTATCTCAAATCGAAACGCTTAACAGATGCTATTGATATCGCACACTTCGTATGTTTGCATATATATATATATATATTTATTATTTTTAAAATAAATATAAATTTGTTTAGATTCTTCAACGATATCCAGATAATACGCGTGTTCGAAAAGATATTCTTGAAAAAGCACGTCTTATGCTTAAATAATATTTCATTTGTTATTTCGTTTTATCATAATAAAAGAAAACAAAACACTTATTCATACACATGTGTTTATTTATCTACAAGAGTATAATATACATCGTATAGAGAGAATACTTATGATAAAAGACATTGTGATTTTCTTTTTCTTCGTTTCATTTTTGGATATTTTCCAAGGCCAGCACGTATAGCAATATCGAAGACGCGTGCTAAATTTTTTTGTGTCAACGCTGAACACTCAATATAAGCAACAGCGCCGATCTCTTGTGCCATCATTGCACCTTTTTGTGTAATTATTGGAGCTGATTTTCGAGCCTAGAATTTATAAATTTAATATTTAATTACATAATTATTGTTTTATGCGTCCTACTAAAAGTTTGTCAATAGTATGTTTATCGTCGCGTAAATCTAATTTTGTGCCAACAAGTACGACGGGCGTCTCAGGATTGTTATGTTTTATTTCTGGTGACCATTTAGCGCGGACATTGTCAAATGATGCAGGATTAACAACACTGTAGCACACAAGAAATACATCAGTTTGAGGATATGATAATGGGCGAAGACGATCGTAATCTAAAATGTATTAGTAGTTCTTTATGTGTCATGATTTTATCCGATTGAATATACCTTCTTGACCGGCCTAATAAAGAAAATAGGTGTTTTTTATACGGAAATTTAAAAAGAAAATAAATTACCGTATCCCATAAGCCAAGGTTAACTGGTTCATTATCAACCATTATATTAGCTGAATAATTGTCAAATCTATAGGCGAAAAAGATCAATTGAATTTTTATTCTAAAACGGTTTTTCGTTTTTTTTATATCAAACTTACACTGTTGGAATATATTCACCCGGACTAGTTATCAAAAATAAATAAATATATATATATATACGATAAAAACTGTAAAATGAGTTATTGAATACTTACAAAGCATTGGTGGTATACGACATGAGTAGACAAGTCTTGCCCACAGCACCATCACCGACCACCACACATTTGACATTTCGGTAGATACTCATTTGATGAAATTAACTGATAGAATCTTATAAAATATTCATATAGTTTTTGTCAAAAAAAAAGAGAAACAAATGTTTTGCTTTTTTCTGCCGTTCGCACATCTATGTTGAAGAAAAATGGGAAAAAGAAGTATATATATATATATATATATACATGAGTGTGTATGGTTGCATTTTATTCTGCTCGTTCTGTAGTTGAGAGTTCATCGCTCTATGCCTTGCTCATACGCCCCCGAACGCAAGCAAACATACGGTCAGATATAGCGGCGACCAATTCCTTTGCAGTAAACTCTACTCACTGTGAATGACTTTTTTTCTCGTTTTCGGACATCAATACACATTTGTTCTCTTTCTTTTTCTCTCATTTTACTTACGATCCGCCTACTACGAAAATGATTCTTTTTTTGCAACAACTACAAGAAAAAAGTAGCAGATGTTAGAGTGTAGGCCATATGATGATGGATCAGAGTTAATCATCGTCTGAATTGTCTCATAAAAAGGCACTTGAAGATAAAAAAATGATTTTTGCTGTAAAAAAGAAGTATCTCTGTAGTCGAGTAATTAAATCATATCATGATTCTTGATCATGCGATATGACTAATTGCATGTTGTACATGTAATTATTGATTTCTTTGATGTAATCGTGGAATTCTTTTGCTTACAAAAATATTTCAAGTATTTTCCTTCAGTATTAGTAGACTTGAACCAAAATGTAATAGGAATCTATTCAAATTGTATTTACGCGGAAAAGACAGAACGGTTATCATTGTACGATAGGATTATTATGTATCTGCTCGAAAATATATTTCATAAAGCCAGTGGCTATTTTTTGAAAAAGACCTCTTTTAATTGTGTTAGGAAGTGATAGAAATCAAATCGTCATTTATCTTCAATGGAATGACGCATACGTTTATTCATCAGCATGAGAAATAACTAAAGCTGCGGCTTATTACATCAACAAATAATTCTGCTCTTATTTTAGAATTCAAGGATTCCAAAAGAAATCGTCGAATGAAAATAAAAACTGACAGATAAATCTCATGATTGAAATATACAATGTTTCTACTCCAGTATTTTCTATGAAACTCGCTGGACAATTAATATTCACATTTTCTAATGTCTAATGATAACGTTTGAGTATATTTTTTTAATTGATTATTCATTTTCTTTTTACAATGTCAATATTGTTGGAAAATTGACCTTATGTTGCCGTATACTTAAAAATATGTGGATAAAAGACCTGATCACCAAATAATCTTATCATTTTTTTTCTATATAAGTTACGTATCGACATGCAAGGATATCAACAGCGACTCATTACCTTCACTTTATTTATTACTGTGGCATATGGAAAACTAGAAATTGTCTCTTTCGATGCTAAGGCTCCAACGGATATAATTGGACCTCATTCTACAATCTATGATACTCACATAGAGTTCGTTGATTTCTGTTCTCTCTGTTATGCATTCACCATACTTGTATATTTATAGATTATGGGCTGTTTTAAAAGATTGTCCAAATTCAGAATGTAGCTGCACTGTCAATAGTCCTGATTTAGCAGATGATTCGTATAGCGTAACGTTTTTGGTGGCACCGCAAAAGCATATAGGCTATGTGCAGATTTCTGATCTTAAACCAATTACCAAATATTCATTCACTTTGACTTGTGCGGATGTAGGTAGTCATCCTAGTCTGACAATCCCTATGACAACTGATTATGGTCGTCCATCAGCACCAGCAAATATTGCATCAGCATTAAATGCTAACAAAATTAAAATCAGTTGGTCACCGGTAACGCCTAGTGAATCATTTGATCATTACAGAGTGACCATTGATAAAGCAGCTATAGAAGTAGGGAAAGACAATTCTTATGAAATGAAAGAAAACTATGTAAATGGCATCACGCATAAAATCAGGGTTCAAGCTTGTCGTAAAAACAAGCAAGGCAATATACTGTGTTCGCAATCAAAAAATGATGAAATAACGTTTTTCGTACCAACACCACCAACAGTAACACCACCAGTAATAACAGCATCAGAAACTCCACCGACAGCAACAGCAACACCATCAACAGCAACGCCCCCATCAACTACATCAACAACAACAACAACAAAATCAATGGGTGTTCATTCTTATTCTGTATCTGTTTTAATGATTTTTTTGTCTCTTTTTTTTCTAAGTTGAAACAAAATGTTAAGGAATGTATCCTCCTATTTTCTTAACGTTCTATTTTAATTGCAAAATATATCTATTCAAACTTGCGTAATTGATAGACGCATTCGATTTTGAATCGTAAGCTTTCAAAAAAGAACGATTTCTTCTGTGAACTATGAAAAATAAAAGTCGATCTAGAAAAGATATCTATGATTTTGACTATTTGAATAGATTAGCCTAAAGTGTTCGATTGTTGTAGGAACTGAACGATCAATAAAAATACTCGGTTAAGTGATGAGATTAAAATTAAATATAACAAAACAGAAGATCAAAAATCAGTGGATGAGATCAACGTTTAGTAACAAAATCTAATCATTTGTATTTATCAATATAAATAATTTTATATCATAATATTCGGGATGAATAAAATCGCCTTTTTATGCGCCAGGAATATTTTAACTCTTTTTCTTTCTCTCTTTATGAGTCAAGCTACAGATATGTTTTTGGCAGATAATCAACAATCTCATTTATCATTGCCGCAGCGAGAGAATACGAGTGTCAGTAAAATAGAAGACTGAAATAGTTTTTCATCCTTTCGAATTTTTCAAAATTGAACTCTATTAAATAGACTTTGTAGTAGAATTGGCAATGGCGTTTAATCCCAGCAATATATGAAGTAGTCTGTATGTTGATGATCGTCGTTTCAAGTTTTATCAATAGAATCATCTTCATAACCAAACTACTATATGCCATTCAATAAAATAATCTTCATGGAATAAAACATTTATTTCTTTTTCTTTTCATATCACTTATAAAAATGTCTATAGCTAAAGTGATTGGTACAATCGAGTATTTGTGTATGTGTCTATATGATCATTCTGCATATAATAACAAGTGTAAGTATAGTAGTACGTTTCGTCTTAAAGATTAAGTTTTTTCGACCAAAAACAAATAAAAAAGGAAATGTGAACATCCGTCATGATCAAGGAGGAAAGAAAAAAAAGTACCCTTCGCATTATTCGAGTCAGAAATGAAAATAAAGACTACAAATAAACACACAACAAGTACAAAAATATTTAAGAAGATCATTGTTCTTGTTTTTCTAAACTCATCTGTTCGATTCGTTTCCATGAGTTTATTCGATCTTGTTCTTGAATTGATAATCTATATGATAGATTTGAAAAAATAAGCGACATATTATTGCAATAAACTATTACGAATCATTAAAAAATCTACCTTTTTTCATCGTCTCGTAATGCATTTAATATTTCATCACATCCTTTTTTATTAATATCCATAAAATGTCTTATTAAATTATATGATAATGTTACAATATTTGCATTCCAATGTGTTTTAGATATGCGACATAACGGTGGCAGCAATATCGGTAAAATTTCATCGAGATTTTCTTCCATCAATTGCACAATGTATTCATTCGACCATAACGTTAATGATCGTTCGGCGACCTAAATAGAGCGATTGTTTTTTTTTTCTAACTCTTATTCTTTAAGGACTGCAATTAAAACGATTTTCATCGATTAAGAAATAAAGAACGAATCGCACAGAGAAAGCTTTTAGCAACAATCTGGCTCGAGCAGAACTTTTTTTCCCATATATATATATTTCGCAAGATAACGTTATCGCATACTAATCTTCTCGTATTTTGTATAGAACAAAAATCATCTCCATAAGAATGGTTTATTATGAAGGATTTTGTCCCATAATCAGTCTGTATAAGAAGACGCTCCCTATATTCTAATTTTATCTGTCAAAGTCAAATAGTTAAAAATTCGAAAGCTCTATTATCAATTGATCTGAGTAAAAAAAAGTAATTTCAAAGTAATTTTTAAGACGAGCATAATTTTCTACCGAAAAACATAATTTCAGTTAAATAATTTAGGCCTACATTGACATTTACGTAATAGACATAGGTTATTTTTACACATGGGAATACTCCCTCACTAATGGAAGATTCATGACTTTAGATAGAATTTGCACCGCTTTTAATCTGCAGGATAAAATAAGAGGTAAAGTTGCTGTAATTCTTATGGCATTAATTACACATTAGAAACCAACATAGTTTCTTGAGATGGAAATATCAATCATAGAAGTCTTTAGTCGAACAACGCTATAGTTTATATTTTATTGACTACTATGGGCTTCCGGAAAAACCTCGCATTCTTTCATAGCTATTTGTACTATTAAAAAAAGAATCCACGATTGAAATGTTTCTGATTATAGATTAATTTACTTGAAAATGTGATGATGTAACTGATCGTGTAATTTGTCTTGCAAGTGGTACAGAAATAATTTTAAATGTTTTTGCATCGACGACATCAAGAATTTCTTCAAGTTCATTGATAAATAAAATCTAAATAGATAATCAATTAAAGTAAACAAGATTTCGAACAAGAAAATTTTCTTTATACTTCTTTCGTTGAACATGTTTTTGGCCAAAATTTGAGTAAACCTTTGATGACAAGTTCTCCTAATAATGATTCTTTTTCAATAAATTGTACAACACAATATGTTAACTATGAAAAATTGGAATAGATTTAAATTAAAAACAAGAAAGAAAGAAAGAAAGAAAGAATCTATTTACTTGTGGATGATATAAATTTAATGAATGCGTTTTATGTAATGGTAAAAGTACTCGTCCAAGAAATACTTTATGTTCTTCTTTTAATGGTACAGCAAAACCATTAATGATACTAAATGAGTGTAGAATGGAGAATTTCTTAGAAATTCATACTTATTTTATGACAATACAATACCTTCCAAGTATTTCCAATAGCTCAGCAATGCCATTGAATCGTTCGTGTTCGTAGATAAATCTTAATAGTAAAAATAGCATTTAAACAAATTCATAGAATATCATTAGAATTATAACAGATCGTTGAGAAGCCTATTTTAGAATTAAAAACTGAAATAATATTATTTTTTATGTTTAAACAATTTCTATCACGCACTATCTAGCGAGAATTTCAACAAGGTTCATTGCTTATAACAATATTCACATGAAAAACAATGAACTGCTCCCGGCCAAATTGCTTTCTGCTCGAGGGCATCAACATTCGATGGGGTGTGAGAATTTTTGTTTTTTCAGTGCTCTTTTGCTAAGTTACAAGCGTATTGTTTAGTTGACGAGCATGAAATTATTAAAAGTTTCCAAGCACGATTATTGAAATACAATGCCATTACGCACAATACATAGAGATGCTAGAGAAAATTTGGCGCTTTTCACTAAGTCAAATGTACCTGTATAGAGGTATTGACATGACATAGAATTAAAGAACAACTCGAAATAGTTGTTTCTATTTTTTTTCAGTTGTAAATATCTTAGAAATTAGTTTTGTGTAAGTCTTGAAATGTTGTAAAGTTTATCTAAGCAAGAAATTTGATGATTCACGTTCTCGATAATTCGAGGATCATCAAATAAAACATGCATCATGCGATAGGCAAAAGCCGGAAAACAATGCCAAAATAAACTTTATTCTTACTCATGATGATCGATCGAATGATAATGGTAATGGTCCCTGGTGAAATGGTGCTTAACAGCTACGAATGTGCTCTCTTAGGAACTGATTAAAAAGCTATGTTAATCTAATTATTGATTAAGGATTAGAAAATATAATATTGAATTTTCTTTTATTCTATTCATTTTTACCATAAAAATTCTTCGTTGAATATTAATTGAGTTTAATTGTTTTCGTCATATTTTACTGCTCGGGTTCGAGTTGATCAAGTTCATTACTAATTTCTTTTAGTCTACGATAAACAAATCGATTTTCAATTCATCGAATTTTTATTCTTAATTACATCTTTCTTTTTATATTTTACTCATGTTTTGACCAATACGAAAGTATAATAGATAAAATACAAACCTTAAAAAAATATTATTAAATTGTTTGCGAATGAATGCTCTTAAACCAAGAAATTTTCCATAAATTCGATGAAGTATTGTTTTTAAAAAGTCCCTTTCACGTGGATCTTCACTATCAAATAATTCCAATAGCTGAAATCAAATGAAAGAAAAATAGAGATCAATAAACAATAGATTACTCCATTTGTTTTACTTGTAAAACAAATTTCTGGTCGATGATTTTTTTTGCTAAATTTGGTTGAAAATCATGTGATTCCAAAAACCTTAAAAAAAATTCATAAACTATTTGTGTATGTGGCCATGATGCTTCTAATGTTGGCTCCTCTTCTTCGACGCCTGTCTCTTCGGATAAACTATCTGGGCCAGCTGGTGGTAATACACGGAAAAGGTTGATTGATACCTAGGTAAGAGCGAAGAAACTAAAAGTTCTTTTCCGTTATCAAATAAAGTTACAAACCATGGCGATGGCTTCCGGATAAACATTGTCTGTCAAACAATTTTTTGTTGCTGTTATATAGTCGACAATTTCATTGAGACAAGCTCGCTTTATTTCTTTACTTTTAAGATCGCTTACACAATCAGAAAAATCAAAGAGAACACAGCATTGTTTTAATTTCTCAATGAATAATTTTTCTTGTTGATCACTTGGAGTTTCTAGAGAATAATAATAAATATTTTCAAGTAAATATTATTAAACAATGTTCTATTAAAGAAAACAAACTCATTCTTATTTCTTTTTGGAATTTAAAATTGAACTGGGGTTTTTAACAAAATTTACGAGAGACCTGTTTTATCGTAGAAATTAAAATTTATCTAAGGAAAATATTTCAAAATGTGTAATAATGTTGAAATGAAACGCATTATCAAAAAAGAACACATTTATAAATAATTTTTGTTCCACTAATATTGGATACATGCATATCTCTATAATCTACTCTAGTCAAAGTACCCTTGAATATTGTAACTTAATAAAATATCAATAAATAATAAAAAATATTTTGCAAGCGCAATGTTTTTACCTACTCATAGCTCACGACTACGTTTAATTAGACTTCGTATGAAATTATGTGGAAAAATACCTTTCAATGGTGGTAACGGTTCAAGTTCTTGATTCAAATGTTTATATCCAAGACGTGATGATTCTTGTAGTCGTTTCCTTCGTGTACGAATAGCTTGTTTTTTAGAAAATGGGTCATTTTCTGCAAAATTCGATGACATCTTTTCACATCGATGTCTCTAAAAACACGACTCAAAACTTAATATTAATATTTGGAGTTATTCAATATATTACCAAACATAAAACAGATCGCTTCAATTAGAATATATAAACTAATATTTCTTTTTCTTACTTGTCAACATGCTAGCCAATCAAAATCGTTATTCTAGATGTCGCTGGTGTATTTTCAAGATATAGATATATATGTATATGCAAAAAACATCATCTAATTTTATTCATTAGAGATTCATGTTTATTTTTATTCAATCAAAGAGAACCAAGAGAAAAAAATGAAAGAAAGAAATATCTGAACAAAAGAAAAAGAAAAAAAAATATTTTTTTCCAGTTATTCATCTTCATTTCACATCTAATACACGTACGAACATATAATATATATCAACAGATAGACAAACACTGTGTAGAGAGAGAGAAAAAGTAAAGTTATTTTATCGGATTAGAAGAAGTTATGATCACACATGATTTTATTTTTTGAATATTTATTTTCGACAGTAAACAAATCTTGACCAGAGACCAAGAATAGAAACAAACAACCGAAACAATTAGAAATGATCAACCTAAAAAATAATCATTACATATATTTAATCAATTAATCAAAAAATAAATAAATTTCTACTTTGAATGTCCATGTGCCTGTATAAACATCAAAGTCAACAAATTTTCCATTGAATTTTTTAGTCATGCCACGTAAATAATGTCCATAGTTCATTTCAATTAATCTATCAGGATCAGTTACTTCTTCGCCACTATTGGATATTGAACGATCAATTGGATAAACGCCCAATAAAGATATTATTGCTTGACAATTTAATTCTTCGCCTACCGCTGGTTTATTTTTATCATCGGGATAAACTGTTACTTGTCTACGACCAATTTCAACTAAAATTTCAAAAACAAAAATCTTAATATGTTTTTTATCATTTTCATTTTGTCTTTTATTTATTACTTAGTTGATTAAGATCGAGACCAGCTAAATTAATTTTCGATCCTTGAAATGTAACAGAACCATAATGTTCTCTGCCTACAGTGAATTCTTTTACAATACATTGCCCTTTTGGATTAAAATAATTTCTTAATTCATCAATAGTTGGCTTTGTATAATAATCATCATGTGCTAGTTTAGGTAAACGAAAAGCTCGTTCTTGTTCGAATTTCTGCTCATTTAAATTCTTTTGTTTGTCGTCTTCATCAACAGATGCTTTTATAGGTTCAATAGGTTGTTGTTGTTGTTGTTGTTGTTGTTTTGATGCTAAATATGCATCATAAGTAGCAAACTTTTTCCATCCCGATAAATTATCTGATGTTGGTTTAACAGTAAATGTATCAGAGAAGATTTCTTCTTTAGTTTGAATTTCATTATTGATGATTCCTCCGCCTCCGCCTCCAAGAACAACGGATCGTACTTTATTCATATCGAGTATACGTGGTCGTTTAAGAACATTTGTTTTAGTTATTTTATTAATTGACAATGACGGTCCATCATCCATCATTAGTGAATTATCATCATCATCATCAAGAAATGAATCAGCTAGTTTTCGTTTACCCAATAAAGTAATTGATGTATTTGTTGTTGTCGACGGTAACAATACTGATGGTAATGTATGACAATGAGTTGGCAATTGGGTAACTAATGTTGGTGGAGGTGTTGATGTATTCGATGTGAGCACAGATGGTTTTGGAATAAGAGAAGTAAATACGTTAGTTAACGGATGAGTATTGTTCGAGTCAGGCACAGTGCGAATTCGAGTGCGATCAAGACCAATATTTGGCTAAACGAATACAAGAATATTATTAGTGAAATTGATATTAGATATACATTTTCATGGGAGAAAATAAATTTAATTGTTCTTCTTGCCTTTTCTAAGCTTTTTCAAATGTTTACTAATGAAAAGCAATCTCAAAACTGTTTCTATTTACAGGTACGATTCAGCAGTATAATGTAATTTTTGTTAATATCTTATTTTTTACGAAATTGTGATCATACTACTGTATTTTTGACTATTGGCAAGTTTGAATAATAAGAAAAATGGTTTAACATTTTTCAATTAGTCATCATTTTTACTATCGGCATTTTCAAGTCTTGAACGATTGCATAATTAAAATACTTTTTATTCCGAAGGAAATGCTCAGCGTATGAATTTTTCTAATTGTTCATTTTCTTGCGAAGAAATCATATTTTTCAGGTGACACTATCAGAGCAATCGAGTAACGATTTGATTAGTTTATGTTGGAAACCTATAAATCATACATTTTTCATTCAATCTTTACTTCCAGTATTTATTTGATATCCAGAATTCAATAAAAGGATTATATATTCAAAAATAAAACCAATCATGGATATATGTAGATTCTTTTGAGTTTTTACTAATTTCATCGATGTATAATATATATATAATTATAAACCTAGGGGAATTATGAATTCAATTGGCGTTTGTCAGCAACAAACATTTCTTCGTTAGATTTTGATGTAGATCGATTCAATTAAGCAAAAAAACAGCTAAACAGTTCTCTTACGGTTCAGCCGAATGTCGAACATGCCTGCTGTTGTTTTGTTATCGATGTTTTTTTTTAGAAATAATTCATTTAAGAATAACCGTGATGTGTGCTTTCAAGATTCATTCTAGTATTTATCTAACACATCTAAATAATATGAGGATGTACTAGAGCGGAAAGTAATTCATGACATTCAGAATTCTTATCATCATTTTTTCATTGTTCCATAGCTGCCCCTGAGATATATTAAAAAAACAAGCTTTTCAAATTATTATGTGTCCTTGGTGAAATCGTAGCATGACTAAAATGAAAGCAATGCTTTCAAGGTTACTATCTAAATATACTAATTATCCTAGTAAACTGCATTAGCAAAAAAGATTAGTCTATTAGCGATTTATTGAGTTACAGATATGACGTAAACGTCATATTCCATAACACCAAACAACAGCATATCGAATCCTCCATTTTCGACCGAATAGAAGTGAACTGAAAGAGAAGCAAACTTCGATGACATTGAGCGTTTCTAGATTGAGCCTTTAGGCATTCATTTGCATACTATAAAGATGGAACACGATCGGAAAAAATAGTTAAAATCATTTCCAACTAGATGTTTAGTCACTTATTTAATTATCCTATTCGAACCATTGAAAGATATAGAAGAAACAAAAACTTCTGAAAAAAAAACAATCGGACCAAGATCTTTTTATTTCACCCGATATTCAATTGAATTTTGCTAACAAAAATTTATCAAGACAAACGCTTTAAGAATTATCTTCGTTAGTTTAATGCTTATCTATAGTCAAAAACAGATGACAAAATCGAATCGAACAACCTAGTCTTCGCGTGTTTTTATTCGTCGATGATAATCGCAGTATTCTAAAATTTATGAAAGCCGTGATAATTTTATTTTTGATCGATATAAAATTTTTCTTTATTCTATATTGAATAAAATTATAATGAAATATTATTGTTACTTTTATATTTCGTGCAAGAAAGCCAAGTTCACTATTAAATGGCTGTATATTAAGCATTGTTTGAAATAATTGTAAATGTGTTCGTGTATCAACAGATGATTGGGTACTTAGTACAGGCTGTGCTGTTATTGTTTGATTTTGTGTGGAAAATAATGTGGCTGTATGAAATAAAACAATTTTATATGAAACATATAATTATTTGAAGAATCTTACGCGCAGTAGTTGTTGTTGTAGTCGTGGGAAACAGACTAAATGATGATGCCGTTGATGCTGCTGTTGATGGTGTAAATGAAAATGTGCCTGTCGTTGTTGGCTTTGATACTGAAAAACCGAATGATGAGCCAGCTGTTGTTGTAGTAGCTGTTGGAAACAGTGAAGTTGAGCCACCTGAAAAGAGAAAAAAATCATGTCGTTATTTTTTCTTGAGAATTAAAATATACCAAAACTAAACGCTGGAGTAGCTGTTGCTGCTGGAGCTTGAGCAGCTCCAAATGCAAATGGGGATGCCGATGTAGTAGATGCTGCTGTAGTACCAAATGGGGCATTCTGAAATAAAATTTTGATATTAGTTAATTTTCTTGTTTTTCAATCGGTCAAAATTTACTGGATTTGCTGTGGTTGTTGTCGGTCCACCAAATGAAAATGGTGCTGCTGCTGCTGCTGTTGTCGTTGTTGGAGCACCGAATGCAAACGGCTAAATAACATAAAATAATTATGTCTAGAAATATTTTTCTTTTCTATTTACTAATGTCGATGTTGTCGTTACAGCTGGCTTATTATTTCCAAAAAAAGTCGAGTTTAATGTTGATGGTGCTGTATTTGTACCAAAAATATTTGTTGAATTCGTTGTAGCTATTGATTATTATTATTATTATTATTAAAGAGAATAATTAATTAAATAAAATTTTCGTTACAAGTTACTGCTGGTGACGAGCCACCAAATAAAGGTGTTCCAGATGATACTGATGGAAATAGACCTCCAGCAGTTGACGTTGCTGTTGTAGAAAATTTTCGATTTTCCATATAGTCCTCGAAACGGAGTTCCTAAAACAGAAGAAATACAAAATATTTATTTGATAAAAAGAAATGTTTTATTTCATTCACCTCCATAGACTTCTTTTCATAGACTGGCATAACACATATGTTGCAATGTTTTACACGAATTTGTGTTTGAGCACCATTTTTAGTTACTTTATCTGTACCAGCAACAGAATCATATTTATGTATTGTACCTGTTCCAGTTGATCCATGTTGAAGAGTTGTATTAGCCGGACTTGCTCCTCCTGAAAAGAAAACAACATTAAATATTCGATTCATTTTCAATGCGAATAGTTAATCAACTAAGAAAAGAATTTCTTAAACGAAATCAAACTCTTAAGTCAAATTCATAATTTTCTGTTTTGCATATTCTCAGTTTTATTACCAAATAAACTTGTTGATCCAAATGGTGTTGACGTAAGTGTATTAGGTTGTGTTGTTGTATTACCAAATAACCCAGTTGAAGTTCGATTTTGATTGACAGGTGTTGATGTTCCAAAAAGACTCGTATTACCCGATGTTGCTGCCGAACCAGAATTAAACATGATTTTAAATGTTTAATTTCGTTTGAAAAAAAATCTGTAAACAAGAAGAAAAAAACAGAATGCTTGAATTGAAACCATTTTTATCATTTTTTAGTTAGTTTCTTTGTTGTTTTTTTATGATTCAAGATAAAAGAAGATTGTAGAAGAGATTATATAAATGTGTATACAGAAAAAGATAATTAATCAATGAAGAAGATACGATAGACATACACGCACTTAGACAAAACTATTGTGATTTATAATCAATATATATATCTAATTCTAATACTCAATTTGATGTTACAGAGTAAAAAACAAAAAAAATTAGAACAAAAAGGAAGTGAACATAAAGCCTGTTTATTATTCGTTTTTGAGTTTGTCTTATTCTTTTACTGTTCATTTCAGATGACAAAAAAAAAGAAAAAGCGTATATATTATGTATATATAAATAGCAATAAACCTGTACAAGAAGAAAAAAAATGCATTCGCTCATTCTGTACGTAATTATGTCGAGGTATCTGACAGCCCTTACAGAAAACACTTTTGTTCTTTTGATGTTTCATCTTTCCATATTTTCGAACAGTATTTGACTAGGGAATGGGCTATTTGATCAAACCGAACAGTAAATAAATAAAGAAACAAACAAAAATTGAGCACAACACATACAATCATATATATTGAGTTTTTTTTTCTTGGCTTCAATCAACTGGGATATATAAGTGAGCAGTATGTGTGTATATATATATATATGTATACATCATGTAGAAAAAAAAGTGTAAGATACGAAAAACAAAAACAAAAAAAGAGATTTATTCAAAAACGGCCGGAATCAATTTGATGGGAAGATATGAGATGCTGTTGAGAATCAATACGAAGATAAGATGATGGAACAAAACCCGTTGTACCATCATGTTTTTGTATACGTGTCCATCCGTCGCCTTGATCATCTTCTAATATATCAAGACATTCGCCAACATATATTGATGCTGCATTTACATATTGACAACCATTTACACCGTGACCTGAAACAATAGAAAAACGATTTATTTCACATACTCCACGTGTTCTATGAGAATCTCATTTTTTCAAAGATATTTTGGCGTTGCCCAATGAAGGGATCTCAAGACTAATGAATCATTATTTTCTACAACTTGCATGTATACTGTTATCTCGAACTTTTTTTCATAGAAATGGTCGATGTGTATTTCTTTTCTTTGATAAGCTAGTCAGTGTCAAGGATAAATAAATTCTTGAAAACGTTTCAAAAGCATTTCAGGACAAAATATATTGTACTCCTTGCTCTCAAAATTAGGCTTTCAGTATAACAGAAGAAGATATTCTGAAAATAACAATCATTCCTAGCTAATTGATATACCATTTTTTTGTCACGTGACTAACAATGTCTCGAGATGTACTATAAATTTTAAAACAGACTAACACATAAACGTGATTAGATTTTTCTATCCTGAGCGACCAGAGTCTGCTTGCAAATTTTCAATTAAAACAATAATAGCACTAACAAACGTATATTAGCTCCATTAAACTTACCATTAAAATCGTACAGTGCATACGCTTTAGTCATCGCTCCAACATTGAGTTGTTGTTTATATTGTCTATCGGAATGATCAATAGCATGTATGTGTTCATCATCCATTTCTTCGTCCTCAAAAGAACCGTTGTGTTCATCATTATGTAGAGTATGAGTTGATACTCTTGCTGTTGCATCATTCTGATGTGAACTCATGGACGGTAATCGATGATAATCATGTGGGGATGTTATCTGTTCAGGAATATCTGGAGGGCTAAAAATAACAAAATAATTTATTTGATCAAGTAGAAAGAAATGTTTATTTCTTCTTGAAATAGATAAACAAGGAGAATGTGTTAGATGCTAAAAAAAAAGACTAATATATCCCATTTCAACAATTAGCAAAATATAATATCAAGATTTTTAAGTTTCGTGCAGACCCTATTAAGAATTGTTATGAAAAGAATAACAAGAAGAAGGAGAATGAGATTTCTTTCTATCAATGTCATGCTATCAAAATTTGATAATTGAGAAAGTTCTTTTTCTACGTAGAATATGATGATATAGATATAATTGCTAACCAAACTGTTGCTGACCAACGTCGATTGATATTTATCAATTTATTATTATATTGTGGTGAATAATGATGATAAAAATTGAGGAAACTAATAAGATTTATTTACGAGATCAAAGCATTATGGCATAACAGTAAAAAACAAAACCTAATATCAATCCGTTTTTTTCTCTCCTTTCTACATAGTTTTTGTTACCTTCGATTTTGTGATGGTGTACTAGATTGTGAATTGTTATTGTTACTTATTGATTGATCAGAACCATAATTGGTTCGTAACTGGCATGTTGATTCATACTCAGATTGTGTGGGAGCTCGTGTTCGTTCGATTTCAGCTATGTAAGACTTCAGAAGAAAGAACAACAAACAAATTCAAGTAAAAGTAAAAGTAAAAGAAAATTCTTCTTACTTCAAATCGTTTTATTTCTGCTATTAATTTTTCAATATGTTCATCGATAGCTATAATTTGTTGTGTTACATCTTGTTCATCACCAAATTTTGGATTTTCTTGGAAAACAAGTCTCATTTTTGTTAGGCCTTCTCTACGAAAATCAAACAGAAATATAAATAAAATTGATTTATTCATAGAAAATTACTTGGCTTTTTGTTTTTTTTCTAGTTCAGTTTTGCAAGTCGTAATTTGTTCTTGAAATTTTTTCAAACGCTGTGCTGGTGGCAATGTACTATAGGGTGTGTTGGATATTGATGAATTGGAATTTCCATTACTTGTTGGCTAGACAAAAAAAAGGATCAATTAATAATGAAATTACGATCTATATAAATCAAGGGGTAAATAAATTTTTGGGTCATACGAAGCATATTTTACTACTATATACATTTAAATTTTTTCCTTTTTTCTTTCGATTCTACAAACAAGAATACTATCTACATTCGAATATATTCTTCTTCCTACTTACCAATATTGTCTATAGTAGAAAAAAACAAACATTTCATAGATGGATTTTAGAATTCAATACAACAGCAGATTCATTTCTTTCTTCACTTACTTTTCTATGTGATGAACTTCCAAAAATTTTTCTTATCGTACTCGCTGTTCCGCCACTTTTATTCGCTCCGGGTTTTCTTAAACCCATTGCTGGTGTTGCCATTAATGTTTGTGTTCCGTTTACATTACCACTAGCATTGCCGACGGCATAAATGGTTGCTACACCGTTTTGACTACTATGATCACTACCCGAACTTCTTAATGTATTTGATCGTGCTAATTCTCCTGTTGGATGATGATGATTAAGTAGAGTAATATTATATATCTGTTGATCTTGCCCATTACTAGATCCATTCAATAACATTGATGAATAATCACCAATGGCTAAATCAACCTATGATACAAAAAATTGAAGTATGTACGTATAAATCATAGGATAGTAAAATAGAGTACCTCTTTTTGATCATCGGGTATCGCATAACCAGATTTATATTCTTCAATAACAGCATGTGCATCTGTATTTGCATTCAATTGTTCGGTTTGCTTTGTCATTTCATCTAGACATCGTTGTATACGCGGTAGAACTTCGGCATGTGATTGAATAAATTTAATATAAACATCTTTAAGTTCCTCGGAACGTTTCCCATCTAATTGTTGTAACTCGGATAAAATATTTGGTAATTGTCTTTCATAAAATAAACTTTGTGTTTCATTAAATAAAGAAACATGAGACGAATAATTTGTATGTGCATCGTCGCATATTTTTGATTTTGACGTCATTGTATCACGAGCTTTTTCTAATTGTGCACGAGATAAATCCAGATCTTCGTGAGCTTTTTCATAGCTTTCTTTTGCTCGACGTGCTGATTCATGACATTCTTCATATTTTCGTAACGACTAAATAAATATAAGATCAAACTCAAAAAATGTAGTTTTACATAACAAAATTCTTTTCCTATTCGTACTCATAAATATTTATGAAATTTCGAATCTTTCTATCTCCAATTTCTAAATTTAAATATCTAATTTTCATTTCGGTTCGTTTTAAGTTCTTAGAAAAAAAAATTTGAATTCTAAATTAATCATCTATTAGAAGATGACGATACAATCTCTAGAGAATTTTTCAATTGCATGATTGCACGGGCGTATTTGAGTACTCGTATGTTTTATGATACCGATGACATTTACACGAAATACTTGACATAATCAGATAAGTTTTATTTTTGACACATATGTAAAATCACATACTTTAATCATTAATTCATGTTGTTTATCAAGTTGACGTTTTATTTTTGCATATTCATCCAAACATTTTTTTCTTTGTTCTCGACATTCTTTTACTGTTATCTGTATTTGTTTTATTGAACGCTCACGAATATTTTCAGCTATTAATTCATGCTGTGAAGCTAGATCTTGTAGTTCTTTTAATGTTGAACAAAATGCAAGCGTATATGTAAATCTATACGAAAATAAAAACAATTGATTATATAACGATTGAATATATATATATATATATATATATATTTTTATTTCAAATTTGAGCATACTTATTATAAAAATCTTCGTGTTCTTTTAATTTTGGTGTATAAGTTTTTGTTAGCTTTTTTAATGCTTTCGCATATTCATCTTCAACTATACATCGATCTTTAAGAAACGATTCATATTTTTCACAGAATTGTAAACTTTTCTCAGCATATTTAGCAACATTATCAAATTGATCCTAAATAAAAGAGAATTGTATTTAAATGAATATATATATATATACGAAACAACATACCCAAAGTTCGACACCCCAACTTCGATTCAACATACTTCTATTTGTTTTAATATTTCTTCGTGTTTCTAAATTTATATGAGATTCGCTTACACAATCATCTTAAAAAAAGAAATGAATATCAATATAACCTTGCTATGTACACCTGTGAATATCGCTCATCTCTATGGTTGATAGTACGATAAGCCATGAACGACGAACGAAGAGAAAAAAAGACGAATAATTGTTTCTTCCCTCGCGTCAATGACAATAGATCACGTAACATACTAACCATAAAGCGTTCTTGCTCTCGTTATTACTATCATGAAACTCATCAATCAATCAAAACAATACCTGATGTTTTATTGCACGTTTATCATAATAAAAATTAGGAGAAAAAAAACTCGTAAACGATGAAAAATATGTAAAGACTGAGCAATGTAAAGAACGAAACGAACGAGCGAAAAAAGAAACGAATAGATATCGGTCAATATGAAGGTTAAACAAGGTGATGACAAGGGACAGCGCATAGGACGATACGAACAAATATAAGACGCCGGCGTCGCCCTTATAATCGCGTTGAGTAAATAATATCCGTTCAATACAATAGTGGGGGGAAGACAGACAATATGAGGTGATAAAACTTCGTACGTCATCAGACAGATGATTTAATGAATAGCTTAGTCTTAATCACATGAAAACCAACAAGAAAAAAGTAGCTATAATAGTATCCATTTTCTCAAATGTTAATGTAGGAAGTTAAACAAGAAAAAAACTGACAATAACATATAACACGCTCTTGATTTAACCGCGAGCAGTTTATCAAGGACGTAAAAAAAGTACGAAATAGGAATAACTGAAAAAGAGAGAGAGAATGTATGCGTAGCATTATAATTCACTTCATACATATTATTTTCTTGAGAATGAATGCAACTGTTTCTTCTTCAATAATACTAAATAGTTTCAATACACAAGGGAATGCCATATCATATCTTATGATTCAAATTTATTTCGACACAAATATATAAATGATACCCAACATAAAAATAGGATCCTTGAAGTTGAATATATTTCAATATTCTAACTAGATCGACTTTCGTGGAATCGGAAACAATTAAAGCAAAAAAAAGAAGAAGACTATGTTCGTTCGCTTAATTCTTTCTTTCCCTATTCAAGTTCAATCGATGATGACTCATGCAAATTTCATCTTATCGCCATGTTTATTGAACATTGGTCTTTGTAATTAAAAAAAAAGAAATTTTATTTATTTTCAACAAAAATAACAATCATAGTAAAATTTATTAAAAAATAAAATGAAATAATAGTTAATTTTAAAACAGATCATCAATGAATATAAAAGAATATTCAACGCCCTCTATTGTAATAAATAATAACGGCATACACATATAAATATACACAATTGTGCTTACTAAACATCCGTATTCGTGATTAATTTAAAAGAAGATAAACATGAGTCTTGCGTCATTAAAAGACGAAATTGAACGTAAACGCAAGAATGTTGAATCTATGAATGTTTTAACAGCGGAAAAGAAATGTTTTCGTCGCGGCGATCTAGAAGCAAAACAAGAAGAAGAATATTGGAGAAAATATTATCTAAAATCTGGTAACAATCCGAATAAAGCATCTTCAGCGGATGATGCACACGAAAAAGCAGCTATTCCGAATGAAAAATTGCAATTACCACCGAGATCTGATGTTATTAAAAAATTACGCGAACGTAATCAACCGATTCGTCTATTCGGAGAATCCGATATTGATTCACATCGAAGATTAAGATTATTAGAAACGTCTGAACCTGAACTTAGAGGACAACGAAATGATTTTAAAGCTGGTTCGTTTATCTATTTAAATATTTGAAACAACAAAAATGTTCTTTTTGTTATAGCTATGGATAAAATTGATCGTGACTATTTATCGGTTATACTTCATGCCGATAATCCATCATCAATGCAAGGGAATTCAGATGGAAAAGACGACGACGACGACGATGGAGAAGTTGGACCACCCATACCAAATCAAACAGAAGAAGTTAAAGAAGATACTGGATATGATCTACCTGATATAATTGAACAAATAAAAACGACACGAAAAGGTAATCGAGCATACGATTGTCAAGTCGTATTAAATTACTTCAAATTTATACTTAAAAAATGGTCACAAGAATTAAATACACGGGATATAGACGAAAAAAAATCTGTACAAGGCAAAATTGAAACAGCATTACACACACAAACGTGCGCTTATATGAAACCATTATTTCGGAAATTAAAAACTAATACATTACAAGATGATATACTGGAATCATTAATTAATGTTGTTAATTGTGTTTTAAAGAAAAATTATATTCGAGCAAATGAATTCTTTCTTGAAATGGCTATTGGCAATGCACCATGGTACGTATTGTCTCTTTTTGAATACATCTGACATGGCATTGATTCATAGCTTTCCAAAAAAAAAGTAATATTCGATTTGTAACAATACGACATTTTTTCCTATTTCAAGCATGTAGTTCTCAATATGGGAAGAGTCCTTTTTTTTACATAGAAGGATAAACTAGATTGATTAGATTTCCAAGACGAATCTACCATCGACTATAATAGATATTGAGATTTTGCGTGTTGTTAGTATTTAGTTATTTTTAAACTCGTTTTTTATTATTTATAGTTGTAAGATAGAGAGAATTTTCGACCTATTTCAAAAATATTGGCATATATTGTCATTAACTATGCGTGCCGTTTTGAATAACATGAAAACATCAACTATAGTAGTAGTATACTCAAGAAAATAGTGTACTTCTATATGTAATCGATTGTCTGTATGGGCAATTCATTATGTGATCGCACTGACTTAGTATTTATCCAAACTACTCTCGATTTCAGTTAGAGTCAAATTATTTTATTTAGTCTACCAGTTCAATTGATCATTTTCAGTACAGAGATAGATTCGATAAAGATTAATATGGCTAAGCTATTCTCGTGTTAAATTGCTGATATTTAGTGATGTAAGATGATTATTATCTATTCTTATAAAGACATAAAAAGTTTTTCATATAGTAAGATCATAAATCGACAGAAAACTCAATTATAAAAGTCTCACACTATACTGCGATTTAAATAAACAAAGAGAAATCAGGCTTTTTCTTCGTATAGAGATTGAAAAAGGAACTGAAAATTTTTCTTCAAATGACGAAAGTCAATAGATTGTAATCTACAAAAAATTTGACTGCACTAGATATGTTCGAACAGAAAATGATTCCGACTGATTAGAACCAGAGTGTCTTTTCCGGAGGGATCTTTTCGAAATGTCATACGAACAAAAACAAGGCTTAATATGTGACGGTAAATATTGATCTAACAGCAAGACTCAAAAATCATGTTAAATGAAATATCTAGATAGAAATAGTCTTTCGGCAACAAGAAAATTCTTATCTGATTTATGAAATAAAATCATAGGTTCATTAATAAACAGTAGTCAGTTTTTTTTCAAGAAAAATATTACAGTGTTCTTAGAAGAAATTTCGAAAATAGATGAATATGAACGACTAAAATTCATCATTCATCCATAGTATTTATTTTTTCGATTTTCTAATTTATGTGGCTAGATAATCGAACAGAGAAAAATACACCGTAGTAGAAGAGTAACGATCGATAGGCAACAAGGACGAAATATACTTATATTTTTGTATATGAGTATTATGCAGCTTGTTTCGATTTTTGACAGCAGTTGCCTTGACATCTTTTCGTTTATTTAACTTAAGGACATTCTGTATGATGTGTTAATCCTAGGCATTGACGAGAAGGACAAGCTAGAACTTCATTTATATTTTCTACGTACGCAATTAAAAACATACTATCTTTGGCACATTCACTACGAATATTTTGATACTCTTTTTTCCTTTCTTTTTTACAAAGAAAAATTCTTTTCAAGATAAAAATTACTTCATCCAAATCACATTGCATATTTTTTCCATAACATTCAAATCGGACGAAAAACAATCGATGTTCATTCGTAACATATATCGATAGATGTTTTCTAATAAATCGTTTGCCTTTATTGCTGATTAGTACTGTATTTTATAAAGACAGCAGAGACGCAAACGTACAGCATGGTTAGTAACGCATCGTTCGAATGACTAAATAATTATATATTTTTTCCATTGATATTGATGTATTTACGTCGAATAAAAATATGTTGGATTTTAAGTTACCCTTCTAATCTTACGTTTCTGATGCCAGTATTGAATCGATGACATCGTATAACTTGAAACAAAACTATAGTTATTATTTTCATATTTAAGCACTTTTTTTTTCTTCTCTTGTTGGGTTTCAAAATATGATGCTTTTAGATATTATTGATGTATTCATTTAATGCAAGTCACTCATATTCATAGAGCCGCTGGGTCGTAAAAAATAATATTTAGTATATTTGACACATTCATGGGGTTTCCTTTGCTGTTAAAATATCATTACCTATTATGTGTCAAAATTTAGCTTTGAGACATGAACGGTACGAGTAAACACAATTTCATAAAATACAAAAAAAGACCTCGGTACATCACATACGGAAAAAATAAAAAACGACTCTATTGAGAAATTTTCTTTTTCTGATTTGTGAAATGCAATTATGTCTTTGATAATGATTTGAATGTTCTCACTTTAACTAAAATTTTAGGCCTCTAGGTGCTACTATGGTCGGTATCCACCCTCGTCCAGGTCGTGAAAAAATCGCCTCGAAACATGTTGCTCATGTACTTAATGATGAAACACAACGTAAATATATTCAAGCAGTTAAACGACTGGTCAGTCGTGCACAAAGATTGTTTCCAAATGATCCATCACGTTGTGTTGACTATGGACAGCGTAATGACAACGTTACGATTATTCCAAGCGCACATCATTAAGAAATAAAATGTACATAATTTTATTTTCTCACAATCCTTGTTTTTTCTTTCTTGTGTCGTCAGTGTTTACTGAAGTGTAACATGATGGTGTTATTTGCATAAATGTGTTGATGTATAGTTTTTTTTTTGCGGTCTATGTATCTTTATGTTTTCAAAAGAAAAAAACATTACAAGAGTATACGAGACGAAAGAAAAGAAATTAGAAGCCACGTCTAGTTTATTCATAAAAGGAGAAAAAGAGAAAAGAACCTTCGTTCATTTTCTGGTTGTTACTATCGCATATTACAAACTTTTTTCGTAAAAAAAAACATCTAGAACTACATAGAAACAAACCAGAAAGATAAGTTAGAGTGCTCTTTATTCAATATATGTTTTTATGAATTAGTATTTTGTATGAGGAATGTTCACATATAAAAACAGAAAGCAGGTTGACAACCGATTCCTGGCGTAGGCTGAGAAGAAGCACCGGGACCACCGACAGCGAAACTGATCGGTGCTTGTTGTTGAAAGTTACCATTAGCAGGACCATAATTATTACCACTAAAAGCACCTACATCAGCAAAACCACCTGAAAAATTTGTGGGAGCCTGTTGATTGTTGTAATAATTTCCTGCATTTAATAGGTTATCACTGTATTGAACATTAGCACCTGTTTGTGCTTCTTGACCACCATAGGCACCACCTCGTGGTGGTACACGAATGACGCGTTTAACGACTTGAGGTGGTCCAGCGGGTTCTACAACAGTTCGTTCTTGAACACGTGGTGGTGGTGTTTGTGGAATTTCGGTAATTTCTTCCACAACTTCAGCTGCTGTTCGTTGAATATAACTATATGGAGAAGAAGAAAAAGAAAAAATTGATTGGAACTAGATTAGAAGAATATTTCTTAAACTCACACTCGTTCGAGTGTATCAGGTTCCGGAGTTGGCATACGGTGTCGTACTTGACGTACTTGACCTTGAGCTTGTTCTGGCAAACGAATAACTTCTTGTCGATGACGACCTTTTCTTCGTTCGCCACTAACAGTAGTACCTCCGAATGAGCCGCCAACCGTACCTTGTTGTGTAGTAAAAAGTCCTCCGTGGTGTTCATGTTTATGTCCACTTTTAGATTTTACTTGAGCAGTGCCTGCTTCTCTTTGACCTTTGTAATTTTCACTAGAAGATTGTTTCTGTGAAACTGTAATGTTGACTTTGCCACTACCCGAGACGGTACTATCTGAGGTTGATGACGATGAGCTACGTGGAACACGTTTACGTTCACCACGTACTTTGGTTTCGCCAGCACCTGCTTGTTGTTGTTGATTTTGAGCTGGTGACGATCCTCGTCGTCCACTTGTATGGTCTGATGATCGTTTTGATTGATCATCACTTTCTACGCGACGTGATGGGTCTGAAGCGTGGCTCATTTTTTCCAACTGATAATAACCTTTATATTTTCCTATACAAGAAATAACACTTGATTCCACCAAATAGACAGATATTTATAAGCAAATTTGTGGTTTTTTTCAAAGCAGAAAAAAATAAGTAGCATACAAATATGAGTCTTACCTGTAAGGTAGTCGTGGTTGATATAAGTGATTGATACTTGTCGATGATAAAAAAAAACAAGTTATTAGAGAGACGGAATGAAAATGATGGGCGAAAAATTGAGAGACGAAAAACTAAGATATCGAAGGCCATTAGTATGTACATATATAAAAAAAAGAGTAATCGAGCGAGAGAAAAAGAGAATGATAGACGAAAAATTAAATGCTAATTTCCACCGTGACCATTCAAGGAGAACAAAACAAATAAATAAATACACAACATGCGATCGAGCATTTTCATGCTCGAATACCTGTTTTATCCATTTCAAAATGATGAATCAGTCAATTTCTCTTTGAAACGAAAGAATGAGATACAATATCGTCCACAACAGTGAGAATGAATTAATTATGATGCACGTACAAAAAGCTATTAAACCATCGAGAAATCTGGAGAAAAGGGGAAATGATTAACAACTATAATTAGAAGAAAAAAAACATTTTTTTATGTTCATTCAAATTATCATGGACTACTTCTTCACTTCGATATTTTCTATTAGATGAATCAAAAAAAGAAAAACACGTTCTTCTCATGAATTAGTTACGGAAATTGAATTCTTTCAAGCAAGAACGTAAAAAATCTACAAATAATAAAAAAAAAAGATAAATATATTTTCTTCCAAAGACATCAATAGATATTTTAAATAAAATATACATACTTAAATTAGAAAAAGTGTTTTTTTCTAATTATCGAACTTCTTCCGCTCAAAAAAGTAACACAAGAAAAAGAGGATTCAAACGATACTCTTACAGACATTGACATCTATCGATCAACAAGTAAAGGATATAATCTAATTTTCAATTTGTTGTTCTCTCAAACCATCACCATAAAAAGATTGTCCCATAAAATAAGAACATTTCGTTTTTGAAATAAAAACATAAATGTTTCACTTCTCTGTTTGTTCTAACATAGAAAATAATAAATTGGAACTCTCTAATTTTATTATCAATACTATAAATTGACCATCGGATAACAAACCTCTAAGAAACGAAAAATATTTCTATCTTATCTTCAACGAATAATTGCTATACTCGAACAATTTAATAGATTATTTTAGATTTAAACGATGCTTGGTAATGGCTGAGAAAACATCAATAACATCATATCAATATCCAACAGATTTAGCGAATGTAATTATTGAATGCCCAGAAAATATTAACGAAGAAGACGAAGATGATAACGATGATGATGATGATGATGATGAAATAAACCAACCATTGTATCCTTCAGTGCAACAACAACCATCAATATTATATAATTATAATAATGGTCATCAACATTTTTCTCCACCAGTTTCTTCAACATCACGTCCAGCCGAATTCGATTTATTACTGGGCGAAGACGATGACGATGGCGAACATACATCAGCATTATTACTTAATTTAGCACCTCCGACGCCTGTAACTATTCAACGAGTAGCATCCGAAGATGAATATAATTTTTATTCCAAGCGTAAACGTGCGAAATTTGTTGGACCATATTTATTTGGCGAAGTTCTTGGACAAGGCTCATATGCGAAAGTAAAAGAATGTTTAGATCGTCGGAATTTATGTCGTCGGGCTGTTAAAATCATGCAACGTCATCGATTACGTAAAACGCCACATGGCGAAAAAATGGCTGCAACAGAAATACGTATATTAAAAAAATTAAATCATCCAAATATAGTTAAACTATATGATTTCATACGAAATGATGAAAAACAAAAATTATATCTTTTTATTGATTTATGTGTTGTTTCATTACAAGAAATGCTTGATTCTGATGAACGACAAAAATTAAAACTTAGTGCTTTTCCAACATGGCAAGCGCATGGCTATTTTATACAGTTAATTGCTGGATTAGAATATTTACATTCAAAATTTATTATTCATAATGATATTAAGTATATTTCTTTTTGTTTTTTTAAGACGAAAAACTTTCTATTATTCGTTGTCATTCTATAGACCAGGTAATCTATTAATAACTGTTGATCATCAATTGAAAATTACTGATTTTGGTACAGCTGAACAACTTGATATGTAAGTATTCATTTGAAGAAAGAAAAACAACAACTGCTGAAACGATTGAAATTCTAATTTTTTAGGTTTAGTCTTGATGACACTCTCAAGCGAAGTCAAGGTTTGTAAGATTTTGATAAAGAAATAACATTGTTATCATTCTTTTTTTGTGTGGTTAATATCACGTTTCTTTTGTCTATTGTTTTTCTTTTGAGTCAATCTCGTTTTCACGAGATGGAATAATTCTGAGAATGTTTATTTCATTAGAAATTCAAAAATAGATTGTAACTGTTATGCCAATGATCTCAACAAGTGTGAAAAACATAGCCAGCGAAAGAAGAAAGCCACTTGAAGTAGTGTTGTTTGCTTTCGGATTGTTTACAAAATGACGATGTACTTGATTATTGCTGTCTGAAAAGGAATTTCGGTTTAAAAGAAAAAAAACCGCTAAGTTATGTCTCACGAGGCTACGCAATTAAATTAGTTTATATCAAATAATTTGTAATCAAATTTTGAGAGTGGATGTAAAAAAATTTGCTAACAATTCTCCAGTGTCATGACATGTATAATCAACGCATCGTAATTAAATTTTGTAGTAATTAGATAAAATAATGATAAAATACTATTTTCTGATCTTACATGAAATGTTAGATATCTAATTTTTATAAGTAAACTTTCTCTCTTCTATTGTGCATACTACCACTATCATCGTAATTGATATTTCATCATTTTAGTACCACGAAGAAATACGGATGCATCTCCTTCGAGACTGATTTCATATTAATCTAGAGTGTTTTCTATGGTTTTAATATTGATTCGTCTCGGTAATCGCACTTTCTCCTACTCCTCTTTCAAATATTTTCTGCCAGTGTATTATTATTAATCAAAACTTAATTTTTCACAAAAAATGAATAGGTACTCCTGCATTCCAATGTCCAGAAATCGCTAATGGCGAAGATACCTACAGTGGCTTTTCTATTGATATATGGTCATGTGGTGTTACATTATTCAATTTAGTTACTGGTAGTTTACCATTTGAAGCCGACAATATATATCTTTTATTTCAAACGATCGGCAAAGGTGTTTATACAATACCTGATGATATTGAACCACATTTACAATCACTTCTACATGGTTTATTACATATTGATAAAAATTTACGTTTTACAATCGAACAAATAAAACAACATGATTGGTTTCGGCGACGACCACCACGTACATTTGATTTTTTACCATTTCCGTCGTCAGCATTAAATCGTTTTCAAACGTTTCCAATGTATGATTATCTAGCTGAATTACATCAACCATCATCAGAAAATGGTGAAGATCAACAACAAGTACAACCGCCAGAAAATCTTAACTTTCCTGACGGTACAATATCAATAGTGCGTCCTTCGAGTAACAATCAACAAGAACAACTTCCTTTTGAAGAACAACGGCATCATCGACGTAGTATTCGATCTGCACTTATTAATTGTAGTTGTAGTCGAACAATAAGTAGTGATAATATTCATCAAACAAAAAATCGAAATAGACAAGACCATCGAATATGTTCCTTGTCTTGATATATATTCGTATTTATACGATGAATAATAGATTAGGTATAATTGTTTATTTGCTTGTTTCGTCTTGTATTCATTTTTTTGGTTCTTGTCTCTTTCGTACATAGATTAAATGCTATTATGTACGCATTACATTCCTTTAAAACTATGTCTCATCACGCATGCACATTCAGAACAGTTGTTTTGTTTGCTTTTTCTCGTTTGTTTTCTTTTTCGTGCACTTGTTGATGCAACAAATAGCAATGATAGACATAAGAGGATATGAGCTATTAACTGTTGCATCGCGCTTTTATTTTCTACACGGATGTAAGTGTGTGTGATAACAGCAGCTAGCTGTTTATGGAATTTTTTCTTTTTTTTTTGTTGATTAGATGAATATCCCTTACATTTCTCCAGTTCGTTTATTTCCTTTTTTTTTGTCTTTTTTTTTATACATTCGGAATCTAGAAGTTGTCATCTCAATTAAAGCCAAGAAAAACAACTAGATGGTTTCCGAGTTTTACTCGACTATGAAATGCGCTGCGCAGCACGGATCTCGATTTCTTCGAGAGAAAGTGAAATTTCAAGGTCGCCCTATGTTGACGATATTACAAAATTTCCAATAATGTTTAGGAGCTCTTTTAGAGATGGCTGTTGTACTTTCGTAATTAGATGTTTTGCTAACGTTCACCTTTCTAACTATCGAAGCGAATGAGAATAAACGTTTCATTGATCAGCTTATTGAATTTTCCAATAATCATAAAGCGATTATCGTAACAGTTCATAACTAGGAGAACTTTAAACATGCGTACTCTTATGTACGAAGAGACTTGCTTTCCTGCTTAACTTCTTATTGATAATTAGTTAGACTCACAGGTAGTAAAAATAAGTCAATATTATGGCTAATTTCATTATTATTCTCAATAAGACTACATTGCATAGTAACTAAGGTAAACCTGTTTGTGATTCCGTTGCTTGCTTTCAACATAAGGAAATGAAGAGAAGGCAATCAGAAGATCGTAACACATCTGTGATTTTTATGTGAATATTTTCTAATTGAGTTTGAACGAGAATTCTTTTAATTTTCCGTTCTGAAAATGATTGAGTTAGTTTTGATCACTGACTCAAGAAATAAAACACACGCCATCAATAACTTTGAGAGAACATCCCCAAATGATACCAATCAGACGGACTCATATTTTTTGCTCACAAATAGGATCCAGTGAGACTAGAAAATTTCTAAAAGCAATGCGAATAATTTGAAAGATAATTCTGATTTAAACATTTATTCTGACTAAATTGAAAGGGAACAATAAATGAAAGCATTGTTCAATTGAAATCAAAATAGTTTTTTTTGTTTACTTGTGGTTATGAATAAAAATGTAATCTATTTTTTATGGTTCTATCTCAAACGAGAAACAAAGATTAATGAATAAAATTATTTTAGATTAACTGCAAGTAACTTCACAATTTATCTTGCGAACATCGATATTTATTTCATTATATTAAAATGGATAATTCTTTTTAAATAAAAAAACAATTGCTTGCATTCTCTATAGGAACAGATTTCTTAGCATTTATTGTCTATTTCTAGATTTGAAAATGAATTTGCTCAGCCGGAGAAAGTGAAAGAGAAAAATCACGGCGAATTACATGAATATAGTGCTTCACACCGAATTTAATGAATTTTTCTTAAAATATTTATCATTTTGCGCTTCTTTTTCTTATTATTTACATTTGATTAGGAAACTATAGAAATATTATTCGATAACAAGAGATAGAAAATGCTTCAGTGAAGTTTTGCTTTTTATTATTATCATTATATCATCATGTATACTTATGAGAAACAAGACAAAGTAGATGTAGCTATTCATTGACTAAATAAAAACAATAAACGAGATTTTTAAAACTTTATCAGTTTTTTTTGTTTTTTTTCCTAACAACTATCTCAAGGTAAAAGATAGACGAATTGTTAAGTGTATCTTCTGGACAACACCAACTAATCTTGAACCCTTCGAAGCAATCCATGTTATTGTATTATGTTTAATGTTGATATAGAAGAACGAGTTATTTTCTAAGAGCAAGTCCACATGTATTTTGTTGGTCATTTGCATCGGTTATATATTCTCCAAATTCAAGTCTTTCGGCAAATGTTGATAAATAATTTTCAAAACCTACGAAGAAAAAGATACAGTTTGTGCGTAATGTCTACAGTTAGAATCTAGAAAAAAAACCGCAAACACTCACTTCCATATTTAACATCTCGAGATGGTTGTTCATGGTTCCATTCGATAACTGGCGTCTCCTCTAGACCGTCATCACCACTTGTTTCAACATAACGGAAATCATTGTTTGATACTAATAATGGAATCATAAGCGATGGTTTAAAATCTAAAAATTGATGTTTTTGACCATATTGCTTTTGTTCATTATTCCATTGGATTATTTCACGTAATGGTAACCAACGCCAACCACCAAATAAGCCTGTCGATTCTGTTGATTCACCATCATGATATGTATATGCTTCACGTACAGATGGAGGAAATTTAGCGCCAAGTATTGCTTCCGCTTTATCAAGTTCATCCATGGATGATATAGGCTTATTCAGTTGATGTAGAACATTAGGTGCGTTTTTAGATAGCCATGATTCAATACGAGAGAATGATTCTTGAACACTCATACTAAAAATAAAGCTAAGTATGTTTATAGAAAGCACCAAATTACAATAGAAAAGTGAGCAGACTACTCTGTGAATAACTTCAGGGGTACTAATAAACCCTTAGGATAAATAGAACTACGTAAAGAAAGAAAAAAGTAAGAATCGATAAACGAAATATCCCTCTGGATATACAAAATTGGTACGTGAAGCACGACAAATCTTCTTGCAGATATAAATATGGCCTAGAGAATATTTTGTTTGTACTTCTTTCATAAAGAAAATATTCTTTCATAACAAAAAAGTATATTGGTAACCCATGCAATCATTTTTTTTTCAACCATATATGGAACTTTCTTACCATCGTGTCGATAATAGCCATCAGCAAATATTCTCTATTTACAGCAACTCGCGGAGCTATACTGTATTTAATTTCTTCTCTGCAATCTAACGTAAGTTCTCTTTTACCTGCTGTTGTCCGCTCAAAGCTATTTTGATTACATTGAAATTCTGTCCTTCTGGAATCACTCCTCTCTTATTTCATCAATTAATTCTGCCAACTAGTATTTCACCAATCATGTTCTCGTGCAAATCAAAAATAAAACCTATTGAATAGTAGTCACTTTATTTATCAATTTAAATTAAAAAGAAATAAATATAAATTATCAATTTAAAAACAAACGTATCGACAAGAAAATGGAACATTCGAATTTGGTTTTCTTATCAAACTTTTCTGGGTAAGATGGGGGCATTTTCATTGAAATCATCATTTGTTATATTAATTTGTTTACCGTCATGATCGCGTGTACGATAAAGTATATAATGTTGAATAATAAACACAAGATCAAATAAAATTGAAAATAAACCTAAACCCAATTTGGTTGGCGACCCAAATATTGACGACCAATCATTATAATTTGTTGAAAGTAAAAACATTTGCACTAAACTTAATGCACCACCAGTAAAATCTAAAAGAATATTTCCGATTGACCAACCGTCAGTTGATTTTCTCTTATAATTCATCCATGCTTGTGGACAATATTTTATTATTGTTATGGCTAATTTAACATAGGAAAAGAAATATAATAATGACAATGTTGATAAATGATGCGTTGCTGAAACAATCGATGATATAAATAAAAATACAAGGCCGATACCACCTAGCACACGAGCAGTATGTGACACACGTTGACTACCACGTTCGTAAAGTAGACATTGAATAACCGTTACGATACATGCAAACACAGCATGACAACTAAATATTACCTAAAAAGAAATTTTTGATATGAAACACTAGATGGCTTCGGGTTTAATTTCTAAGAATTTCTCAGATTCTATTGTTAAATAAAGCGTGTATGCAGAGATAATAGGAAACTGACACTCTATTAACTTGATTTTAATGACTATTTATTTGTATAAACGCATTTGCTTCATGTATGTTAGTTTTTGTGAAACATGATCTATGAGGAATGGCAAAGTATATAGAGTAGAAATTTGTATTGTCTCTTCCCCTATAGGTCGTGATAGAAATTTTGACATTCTGAAGGGCACCTTAGCATTTTATCTTGTTGATGGTAAAAATAACAGCTGGATCGTGTTTCATATTTTAATCTTGTCAGGATTTATCTAATAAATACCTTTTGTTGAACTTTTCATTTTCAATAAATATGATTAGTATTCAAGGAAGATGGTTTTTCTGTTAAATAAAACACAACGATTTCTATAACAGATAAAGTAGACATCATTCAATACCAAGCTTCTGTTAATTGATTGATATCTCACAAAAGCAAACTTAGCTTTTACAACTTTAAGCTGAAAAGTTTTCAAATACTCCTATGATAAACTCTATAAATGAGAGTATAATTTTCTTTTACATAAAAAATCGATCGCTTAATAGTGATGCTCTGAATTTATCATACAACTTACATCATTTAACAAAACAGGTAAAACACCATGTGGATGATTAACATAGTATTCTTGTTGAACTTTTGATGATGTATATAAAACAACATTAAATACTGAATAACATGAATGACCGAGAATATTCAATGCTAGAAAATCAAAATTAAGTCCAGTCACACTTCGCCGTTGAAAATTTAATATTATTTGAGGATAAAATGATATAGACCATGCAGCAAAATAAATCCACCCGACTATTTGTATAAATATATTTAATATATTACTGCGTGCTATATCAATAAGTAGAAAATCAGCAACTGATGATATATTTACTTCTGATGATCGTGCTGTTATAACTAGATGACCTTGTCGACGGCCATATACATAGAAAACTTGACTAAGATCAGCAGTTGAATGATTCACAAATGTTACATTTGGTACTGACTCAATATAGCATTGTGTATTATTAGTTTTACCATCGTATAGAAATTCGACGGATATGGGAAAAGTAACGTCTGTTTTAAGAAGTCGAATATTTACAGATTTATTTTCACCAACGGCAATACTAAGCGATGACGGCTTAAAAGAAATGACTGAGTCATATTGTGTCGTTACATTGATAAATAAAAATAATGCATAAACTATAAACAAATATCTTGAATTCATTTCATATACCAAATTTAAAGTACAAAAAAAAATCTAATAAATTGAAAAGAGTAATATATTTATATTGAGTAAGGAATAGAAAAACAAAGAGAAAATTTGCTTTATCATATATCATCCTGATAAAGCATGAAAGTCTCTATTAACAAAAACGCTTCACATCATGACTAGTTGAAAGTGTTCGAAAATTGAAAGAATGTTAAAATTAATTTTGCTTCTAGATACATTCGATTATCTGTATAACACTCTTTCTCTGAATTGGAAGATATATTTTCTTTTTATAGTCAAATAAAATAAAATGTTGTGTTTGTAGAAGAAATTTTTCGTCTTAGATTCTTCGATTAATTAAAGAAAAATAAAATGAATTTGATTAAAATCTGTTTTCTTTTCTTAATATGAATTAAAATTCGTCGTACTGATTTTATTAATATTCATATGTAATTCCTTTCAACTGTTGCAGTAAATAAACAAAAAAATTTCAATGGTTTTATCATTTTTACAAATAAGAATCCATCTGTCGCCACATGTCATTTGTAATATAATTTCAAACTTGACATGTTTTATTTTTTTCGAAATAAACAATGAAAATCTATGGTTAAATTTTATATTTTATGAAGAAATATGATATAATCAAATAAAATTGATTGTAGCGATGCCTTTCACCGAGTGTCAATTCATTTATCCATCGTAGACTCTTGTCTCACTTATGATAAAGATTATATTCATAAAGTATCATCCCTATTTATGTTAAAATGTAAAAACAAATTATTAATTTTGATACATACAAAAACGTCGGTTTCTTTCTAATGTTTATGTGGTAATATATCTTTACCTACGGCCTACGCGTATACATTGAATTTGTTTATTTGCGGTTGGTGTTTAATAAATATTTGTTATTATTTTTTGTTTTAGATTTTTCGTTTGTAAAAATTAAAAATTCATTTAACTTTTCGTTCTTCAACACTATGGCCTATCTAAATTTGGCGTCAGCTGCCAATTCGACATCATCGTCAACATCATCACCTTATTCACATGTTAATAGTAATGGAGGAATATCAACGTTACCACCATCACTTGCATCGAATTCTTCATCTCTATTTGGGTCAGTTGGTGGCGGAAAGCAATGGACAACGATAGGACAACCAATATCATCGTCATCCTCTTCATCATCAACATTAACACAACAACTTCTAATGAAACAGCAGCAACATCTTCTGAATAATCAACAAACAAATTTATTGAGTTCACCGGCATCTACATCACATTTTGATAGTATCCTAGGACTAACCATGGCATCAGCATTAGCATCATCTTCGCAGACTACCATGGAAAAAAATGTAAAATTCAGACATAACAAACAAAACATTGCTTTTTTATTCTGAATTCTTATCTTATTTAAACTTTTAGTTTGAATTACAACAAGAAGATTTTCCTCCATTACCGCATCGTAGTAATTCTCATGAACCATCGTCATCATCAACTAATATTCAACCACTTTATCAAAGTCAATTTTCATCATCATCATCATCATCAAATTCGCATCAACCAATATCGAATGGGTACAGTTCATCTCAACTACAACAACAACAACAACAACAGCATTCACAATCACAATCACCAATATCATTTAAATCAACTATCGATCCATTGAGTACATTAATGAGTCGACGTCCAACATCAGTTAATAATAAAACAGCATCGCTAACAAATAACTCATCATCATCAACATCAACAAATTCACAACCACTATCAAATACATCAACAACTAATACAAATGGTCTACCTTCATCAACAATTACAGATCAATACGGTCTAGTTGGTCTTCTACAAATGATTCAACAAGCAGAAAAAAGTCCTGAAACATCAACGTTACTCAATTATGATCTGACTACGCTTGGACTAAGTATGTATTTAATTCTATTTGTTTTCAAAATACAAAATTTCCGGATAAACTTTGAATATAGTCATTCTTTCTATTGAAAACTTCTACGATCTAATAAGCGATCGTATTTTAAATGATTACATAAAATTCGATAGATGACATGATGATTGATTATAAGTCACATGGGAACGGACGCTACACATTGAAGTTTCCTGTTTCGTAACATTTCAGGTCCACTGATGTATACTAGTTTTCATTGATTTAAAGAGGATTTCTCTTTAATTTTCTATTAGTCAAATATATATATATATAGATCACATCAGCTTTTGAAAAATTATTAGCAAGGATTTCAATCAAAAACATATAAATCTAAGTTGTAATCGAAATCAAATTTCCTACTCTAGGTATGGACAGTCAAAATGATTTATATCCATCATTCCTATCTCCGTTCTCCGATAGTCAAGCACGACCATATGAAATTGATTATCAAGTTCCATTTGAATATCAAATGGGATTGCAAATACGTGAAAAATTACCTCCACTTAATTTTAACACATTAAATGAAGATACATTATTTTTTTTATTTTATTTATTTGGTAATGATCATGTGCAATTATTAGCTGCTGCTGAATTATATCGACGAGATTGGCGTTATCATAAAGAAGAACGTATATGGTTAACAAGAATAAAAAATATTATGCCTGATCAGAAATTTGATACGTATGAAACAGGTGTTTATTGTGTATTCGATGTACAACTTTGGCGTAAAACACATAAAAGTATGCGAATTGATTACGATAAACTAGATGGTAAGAAAACTAAAATGTTTAATTCCATAATGAATATTTTTATGTTTTTCGTTTCGTTTCCTTAAAAGTAAATCCTGTATCGAAACAAGATGCATTCGCTTCTAAAATACTTCAACAACAGTCTTCTGTACAACAACAGCAACAATATGCGCCTGTATCATCGTATAATACGAATTCTAGATAGTCGCATAAGTTTGATGTTTATTTTTTATTATTATTATTATTATTACTATGAATGTATATAATAAGAACATAAAACAGCAAAGATCCTGCATTCGTTCAATAATTTGCAGTTTTAGAAGAATAAGAATGACGTCTGACAGGCAACAACGTTTTTTTTCTTTTTCTCATAGCTTGTGTCTTGTCGTTGTCATGTGTAGATGTGTGTGTGTGTGCGTGTGAGAGTGATGTTATTCTACGTTCTTCGGTTTTTTTCGCGCTTTTCTCTTATAGCGTCATACTGTTCTTTCTTTTCTTCTTTTTTGTTCGTCATGGTATCGTCGTCTTATTCACTGTTGTGTTTATCATCATCAACAACCTTTACTCTGCTACTTACTTTTGTCCCTGTCTTTCTTTCTTTCCTTTTTATAATATATACTACACTATGTGGAAAAAGAAAATCGATATTTTATATTTTATGAACTTGTTTAGAAAGAAAACTTTCAGGTGTTTTTTGTTTAGAATTCATTCGAAAAATTTTAATTTAATACCATGAAAAGTACAGATGATGTGTGGTCTGAAGCCATTTGATCTTATAATATTATTTTTTTTTCAACGAAACCCTACATAGATAATCTTACATTAGTCACATAGCATTATTGTTCGATCAATCTTTTATTCCCAGGTGAATGAATCCGACTCCCGACAGAATCCGATAGGATTCCGGGACACGGACCTATTGTCGGTCACGACGGAAAAAAATCATTTTCTTATTCACGATCAAATAAGTATTTTGAGCCATCAGAGCGCAAGGGTGATTCGTTAGAGTTGAATTCCGTCAAAATCCAACATCGAATCCGATTGGATCCAATACCAAGGATCAGACTGTAGGTCCGTGTCCAGGAATCCCATAAGATTTCGTCGGTTTTATTGAAACACATATGGTATT